CACCTGAGCATTCACTTCTCTTACAACCCTATCTATAAATATATTGAACAACCATGGTGACACCACACATCCCTGTCTAAGGCCTATTTTTACTGGGAAATATTCTCCCTCTCTCCTACATACTCTAACCTGAGCCTCACTGTCCTTGTAAAAACTCTTCACTGCTTTCAGTAACCTGCCTCCTATTCCATACATTAGCAACATTGCCACAGTGCCCTCGAATCTACCCTATCATAAGCCTTTTCCAAATCCATAATTGCAACCAAAACCTCTTTACCCTTATGTAAATACTGTTCACCTATGTTTTATTGTAAACACTTGGTTTACACACCGTCTACCCTTCCTAAATCCTCCTTGCTCATCTGCGATCCTGCTGCCCGTCTTACTCTTAATTCTTCTATGTAGAGCAGTTTTTTGTTAATGCACTTGAAAAGCACATCAGAAATGAAAAGCCCTTGAAAAGGCCTTTATGGAAAATGATATTTATTTTAGGATATACTCAGTTGCATTTGCAAAAAAAAAAAAAAAAAAAATGCTGTGTATACTGTAGGTATTCTAAATATGCACACACTTAAACAGGTCACACACAAAAAAAAAAACTGCTCTCCATAACCTCTTTGTTTTAAATATATAGTACCAGCCATCTCTCACCGAGGCAAGGTGACTTAAAGAGAAGAAACAAAAGTTTTTCTTTTTAAATTTAGTAATATACACAGGATTTTAGTCACCTTTTATGGCACACTTGACTATGGAGAAGTTTTCAGTATATAATATTGAAATATACAAGAGTTCCTCGCCTTAACTAGTATTTCTTAATATTACCCTTCCTCTTGATGATGTCTTCAAGTCTTCTTCTCAAGCCTCCTAGGTACTGATGAGTCATGCTTATGAAGGATAGAAAAGTCAGCCCTCTCCCACACTTGCTTAATGGCAATTAAGATTTTGAGATCAAAGAACACATCCATGCCACGAAACTTAAACTTACTAAGTTTCAAAACGGTCTCTTTCGGATTTAAGTGCAGTTAGTTTCCTGACCAGCATTAAAGTATTAAAAAAATAGCATTAATTTAGCCAGTTTATTTTGTTTTGGTCACTAGTGCAAGAGGTACAGTTTGTCATAACCAAAGTTGTCTTTGCACTTTTTGAATGTGTTGGGTAAATAGTGTGGTAAAGGTGTACTTAAGGGCATGTATGTGACACTGTAAGAATAGATTTCATAAGATAGCTGAGTGTAGTTTTATCCTTTATTTCTTGTTGAATTTAAATGATCAGAAGCTTCACAGACAAATGGCATCAGTAAGAAAGGAATGAATGTTGTGTCCACCCATTACTGCTGCAAAGTCAAGCCACCTTGAGGAGGTTATTTTTACACACCTGCAAGTGGGTAAAGAAAAAATAATTTTATTATTATCAAGCTTTGTGCAAGTGCACCTGCAGTGGCTAACGCGACGGGCTGGAGTTTTGAGACTCTATGACCGCGGGTTCAATCCCGGCCGAGGGTATGGTTTGTTTGCATCTTGTAATAGTTGAAGTATGACACAGGCCACTGGCACCATCAGTGTGACAAAGGCCACTGGCACCATCAGTGTGACACAGGCCACTGGCACCATCAGAGTGACACAGGCCACTGGCACCATCAGTGTGACACAGGCCACTGGCACCATCAGTGTGACACAGGCCACTGGCACCACCAGTGTGACACAGGCCACTGGCACCACCAGTGTGACACAGGCCACTGGCACCACCAGTGTGACACAGGCCACTGGCACCACCAGTGTGACACAGGCCACTGGCACCACCAGTGTGACACAGGCCACTGGCACCACCAGTGTGACACAGGCCACTGGCACCACCAGTGTGACACAGGCCACTGGCACCACCAGTGTGACACAGGCCACTGGCACCACCAGTGTGACACAGGCCACTGGCACCACCAGTGTGACACAGGCCACTGGCACCACCAGTGTGACACAGGCCACTGGCACCACCAGTGTGACACAGGCCACTGGCACCACCAGTGTGACACAGGCCACTGGCACCACCAGTGTGACACAGGCCACTGGCACCACCAGTGTGACACAGGCCACTGGCACCACCAGTGTGACACAGGCCACTGGCACCACCAGTGTGACACAGGCCACTGGCACCACCAGTGTGACACAGGCCACTGGCACCACCAGTGTGACACAGGCCACTGGCACCACCAGTGTGACACAGGCCACTGGCACCACCAGTGTGACACAGGCCACTGGCACCACCAGTGTGACACAGGCCACTGGCACCACCAGTGTGACACAGGCCACTGGCACCACCAGTGTGACACAGGCCACTGGCACCACCAGTGTGACACAGGCCACTGGCACCACCAGTGTGACACAGGCCACTGGCACCACCAGTGTGACACAGGCCACTGGCACCACCAGTGTGACACAGGCCACTGGCACCACCAGTGTGACACAGGCCACTGGCACCACCAGTGTGACACAGGCCACTGGCACCACCAGTGTGACACAGGCCACTGGCACCACCAGTGTGACACAGGCCACTGGCACCACCAGTGGTGACACAGGCCACTGGCCCCAGGTTGACACAGGCCCTGGCCCACCGTGACACAGGCCACTGGCCCCATCGGCGTGACACAGGCCACTGGCCCCATCGGCGTGACACAGGCCACTGGCCCCATCGGCGTGACACAGGCCACTGGCCCCATCGGCGTGACACAGGCCACTGGCCCCATCGGCGTGACACAGGCACTGGCCCATCCGTGCACAGCCGCCCCATCGGCGTGACACGCAGGCCACTGGCCCCATCGGCGTGACACGCAGGCCACTGGCCCCATCGGCGTGACACGCAGGCCACTGGCCCCATCGGCGTGACACGCAGGCCACTGGCCCCATCGGCGTGACACGCAGGCCACTGGCCCCATCGGCGTGACACGCAGGCCACTGGCCCCATCGGCGTGACACGCAGGCCACTGGCCCCATCGGCGTGACACGCAGGCCACTGGCACCATCGGCGTGACACGCAGGCCACTGGCACCACCGGCGTGACACAGGCCACTGGCACCACCGGCGTGACACAGGCCACTGGCACCACCGGCGTGACACAGGCCACTGGCACCACCGGCGTGACACAGGCCACTGGCACCACCGGCGTGACACACAGGCCACTGGCACCACCGGCGTGACACACAGGCCACTGGCACCACCGGCGTGACACGCAGGCCACTGGCACCACCGGCGTGACACGCAGGCCACTGGCCCCATCGGCGTGACACGCAGGCCACTGGCCCCATCGGCGTGACACGCAGGCCACTGGCCCCATCGGCGTGACACGCAGGCCACTGGCCCCATCGGCGTGACACGCAGGCCACTGGCCCCATCGGCGTGACACGCAGGCCACTGGCACCACCGGCGTGACACGCAGGCCACTGGCACCACCGGCGTGACACAGGCCACTGGCACCACCGGCGTGACACAGGCCACTGGCACCACCGGCGTGACACAGGCCACTGGCACCACCGGCGTGACACAGGCCACTGGCACCACCGGCGTGACACACAGGCCACTGGCACCACCGGCGTGACACACAGGCCACTGGCACCACCGGCGTGACACACAGGCCACTGGCACCACCGGCGTGACACAGGCCACTGGCACCACCGGCGTGACACACAGGCCACTGGCACCACCGGCATGACACAGGCCACTGGCACCTAGTAGTTCTGGCACCATCACCAATTTGTTACTAATGCCAATGTAGATACTTTTTCTTTATATTTTAGTATAGGTACACATACCTTTATCTGAAACCCTTGGGGCCAGTAGTGTTTCGAATTTCAAATTTTTTGAATTTCAGAATGAAAGTGGGGTCTAGGGCTGCACCCCATAATCAAACATTAACACTGCAGCAAAAATGTATGAATACTCACACTAAGTGGGATAAATAGACTACAAATACTACTATGGTTTATTTATAGAGTAATATATTGTTAAATGAAATAATGGGATAATTATAGACCAGGAACATGATTCTCAGGTGATGAAGCAGCAATAAGACTGATGGCATTTTTAAAGACAACTGATCACACATTTTCACCATATCGTCTATGGGGACTTCTCACCTGTGTTCACAATGTCATCATCATCACTACTGCTTATTTGTATTAAACACCATTTCTTTAAATCATAAACAGTGGTAGTTCCAACACCATATTCTTTAGTAAGATGCTGTACTGACACACCACGATCAAGCTTCTGCAGTAACTACTTTCTGCGTTATTGATAACGTCAGATGCTTCCTTTTCTTTTTTTCACGGTTACCCATTGGGGTATCTGCAGCTTTTTTTGACCTTTTCACAGTGAAATTAAACAGTCACAAAATATAGAGCAAAAACAAAATATCAGTGAACAGCAGACATATGTGTGAACACTACAAACGCTGAGACACAACTAACGCCTGCCACTCTGTCAGTGGCTGATGCTCCACACTCCACGAAAAAACTTCGGTTTTCGGAACTTTTCGAATTTCAGAATTTCAGATGAAGTTAATGTGGACCTGTATTACTATTTTGATAACTATTCTCTGTATTTAAGTGAATGCTTATTACTCAGTATAAATTAAACATCCCAGGGAGGTTAAAAAACTTAATTCCTCTGAAATGCCAGTGTTAATACTTGCTACTAATTATAAACTTTCTCTTGAGGCTTATAAATCTAGAAAACAGAAGATAAAATTTCTGAATGTTTAGTACTCTGATTAAGACATCATAAGAAATCAGCTAGGAAAGTCTGAAAAATTTCCATTTATATTAAAGATGAAACTGAAACATTAACATTCTCATAATGTTCATTACATACACTGTTGCTTCAAAAATCATTTTGAAAAAATGAAAAAAAAAAATTGTAACAACTGAGAATTGAAAATCTAATTATAATTAAGAAGTTGAAGAGCAGTCTCTCTCTCCATTATTAAATTGACGACTAGGTGAAATATTACAGATGAGAGCGATGATGAGGATGATCGGCCGGCCAGGAAGCGTCGCATGGCAGAGAGAGCCGTTGATGGTGATGCTGTTGATGATGAAGAGGTGAGATTTATATATTTTGTTGTTGTTGAAGAGGCGAGATTTATAAATGTTGAAGAGGCGAGATTTTTTTTTTTCTCTTTTTAACACAATCGGCCGATTCCCGCCAAGGCAGGGTGGCCCAAAAAAGAAAAACTTTCATCATTCACTCCATCACTGACTTGCCAGAGTGGTACTTTACACTACAGTTATAAAACTGCAACATTAACACCCCTCCTTCAGAGTGTAGACACTGTACTTCCCATCTCCAGGACTCAAATCCGGCCTGCTTGTTTCCCTGAATCCCTTCATAAATGATACTTTGCTCACACTCCAACAGCACATCAAGTACAGTGGACCCTCGACCAACGATGGCATCGATTAACGATAAATCTGACTAGCGATACATTTTAACGTAAAATTTTTGCCTCGACTAGCGCTAAAAAACTCGACCAACACTATTTGTTCCGTCAGACGCGTCCACTTCTGGCCAGTGTTTACAAGCCAGCCAGCCACCGTGGTCGCTTCCAAGCATGCAATCGGAACATTTCATGTTATCACAGCCTTTTTAGTGATTGCACCTGCAAAATAAGTCACCATGGACCCCAAGAAATCTTCTAGTGCCAACCCTACAGCAAAAAGGGTGAGAATTACTATGGATATGAAGAAAGAGATCATTGCTAAGTATGAAAGTGGAGTGCGTGTCTCCGAGCTGGCCAGGTTGTACACAAAACCCCAATCAACCATCGCTACTATTGTGGCCAAGAAAACGGCAATCGAGGAAGCTGTTCTTGCCAAAGGTGCAACTATGTTTTCGAAACTGAGATCGCAAGTACTCGAAGATGTTGAGAGACTGTTATTGGTGTGGATAAACAAAAAACAGATAGCAGGAGATAGCATCTCTCAAGCGATCATTTGTGAAAAGGCTAGGAAGTTGCATGACGATTTAATGAAAAAAATGCCAGCAACTAGTGGTGTGAGTGAATTTAAGGCCAGCAAAGGTTGGTTTGAGAGATTTAAAGGGAAGGGAAGTAACCCCGGAAAAGGACTTGCCACCTCAAGTCCTAATGCAAGGGGATTCCCCTTCTAAACACTAAGACCATCAACACTCTCCCCTCCTCCCATCCCAACAATCATCACCAGATCTCCAATAAAGGTAAGTGTCATGTAACTGTGCATGCCTTATTCAGTTTGTGTGTGTTAAAATTAATATTTCATGTGGTAAAAACAATTTTTTTTTTCATACTTTGGGGTGTCCTACACGGATTAATTTGATTTCCATTATTTCTTATGGGGAAAATTAACTTGACTAACGATAAATTTGACTAACGATGAGCTCTCAGGAACGGATTAATAGTGTTAGTCGAGGGTCCACTGTATTAAAAACCATTTGTCTCCATTCATTTCTATCAAATGCACTCAGGCACGCTTGCTGGAAGTCCAAGCCCCTCGCACACAAAACCTCCTTTATCCCCTCTCTCCAACCCTTTCTAGGCCGACCTCTACCCTGCCATCCCTCCACTACAGATTTATACACACTCGAAGTCATTTATGTATGCTGTTCAAATTCAAATATTTATTTCTTTGCATAGTATACAATGTGTAGTTGATATGTAAAATATTCAGCACAGAGAATGCCAGTAACATGCCTGAGCATTTTGGACTGACTGATCCTGACGCTTACACACTGCTTAAGACTAGACATAGAATATGGAGTGGTGAATTTTGTTTGTACATTAATACAAAAAGAAAGGTAGCAAAAGTTTTATAATTAGTAAAATTTATAGTAGAAGGGATGCAAATAAAAAAAAATAAAATTACAATTACTACAATTTACAATAGTACAATTTTAAGTGTGTATTAATACTTAAATTAATTTGGTGTTCTTAAGTTAACCCTTTCAGGGTCCGTCCCGTAGATCTACGGCTGGTCGGTGAGTGTCCAAACCGTAGATCTACGCCAAAATTCTAGCGCCGTCAAATTTAGCGCGAAAGCGCTCATAGGCCTACATATGAGAGAATGGGTCTGCGCGGTGGGTGTGCGCCGTAAACAAAAAATCTAGGCGCCTGCATAGCATTGTGGGAACGCCGGCTCAGTCACCCTTGTTCACCATGTCTCGTCGCAAGTCAGCTCTGACTCCCCGGAAAATTGGGACTCTCCTCTTCCTGTCTGATAGTTCTGACACTGATGGAAGTGGAAATGAAGACGAATTCTACGGCTTTGATGAGTTAGTGACCGAAATAATGACCAGGATATCGATAATAGTGCAGAAAACCCCGACGATCCTCGACCTTCTACCTCTGGTGTGGGCACCGTGACTCACGGTCGGTTGTTCCTAAACGTAAGAGAAAACTAATATTTTCCGTGGCCTGGCCTCTGACTTCAGTAATGACGATGATTCTGACGTGGATTGTGATTTTATTGCGCTCGACGATCATTCGAGTAGTGATAGTGAGGAAACATATTCACCAGTGAAGCGTCGGTATGTGCGCCGCCGCATGCGCTCGGGTAGTGTACCCTATGCTATGCCCAGGGGACGGAGTACATCCCGTAGTACATCCCGGAGTACATCCCGTGGCCCTACACCCGTTTTAGGTAGTGATAGTGAGGATGATGTGGCTACACTTGGCATGGATGGGCCACAGACATCAGTGGATGGTGTTAGTGGGGCTGGTGGTGGTAGTGGCACCGCCATGCGTGACTCGCTGTGCACGCGGGAACCCACGCTGCTGACTCGTCAGTTCAAGGACAAAGAGGAGCGTCACCCACCAGCCCGCCACAACCACCCGTACAACCAGCCTATGATGTCCAGTATCCACCAGCAAACCGTATCTGGGATTGGCAGCAAAATCCCAATTTTGTTCCCAGCCCTCACCACTTTGATGACTCGCAAAGTGGAATTCTACCTACCTGTCCCCTTGGAACCACGGCCAATGAACTGGAATTCTTTGAATTATTCTTTGACCAGCCATTGATGGAAACTATTGTCAGGGAAAGTAATAAGTATTTTCAGTACACCATGGCAAATACGATCTTATCACCACAGTCAAGACTACACAGGTGGAAAGAGACGACTGTTGCAGAAATGTATTTGCTTTTTGCAACAATAATGCTTATGCTCACGTCTATAAGCATAATATAAAAGCATACTGGTCCACAGATCGGCTAATTTGTACCCCATCCTTCAGTGAAATAATACCAGTGAACAGGTTTATCTTACTCTTACGTATGTTGCACTTCTCTGACAAAACCAGGCCTGACAGAAGTGACAGGTTATACAAGATTAGAAATGTTTTCATGTATCTCAAACAAAAGTCAGGATATACTTTTATCCATTCAAGAATCTTGTAATTGACGAGTCTTTGATTTTGTTCAAAGGTAGACTGTCATTCAAGCAGTATATACCGAGCAAGAGGAACCGCTTTGGTATAAAATTGTTTGTACTCTGTGATTGTGACAGTGGCCTGGTGTTGGATATTGTTGTATACACGGGTAGTAAAACATTGAAAGATACCAAGATGTTATTGGGTATATCAGGTGACGTAGTGAGAAACATGATGGCACCTTATCTTGGTAAGGGCCATACATTATATACCGATAACTGGTACACAATCTCCATGGGGAAGTGGAACAGAATTCTTCCTCCGTAAGCCATGCGTGTTGTAAGAGGCGACTAAAATGCCGGGAGCAAGGGGCTAGTAACCTCTTCTCCTGTATATATTACTAAATGTAAAAGGAGAAACTTTCGTTTTTCCTTTTGGGCCACCCCGCCTCGGTGGGATACGGCTGGTGTGTTGAAAGAAAGAAAGAACTGGTACACAAGCCCATTACTCAGTGATTTCATGCGAGTGAACAAGACAGGTGTGTGTGGCACAGTGCGTTCTAATCGTAAACATATGCCCAGGCTCAACGCAGGTGTTCGTGGTGATGACGTGCAGGTGTTTACTGCCAATGACATCATGGCATTACGGTGGCATGACAAACGAGATGTCACATTGTTGACAACCATTCACCGTAATGAAATGCAAGACAGTGGCAAAGTTGATCGAGTGACTAATGAACGTATTCGAAAACCAGTGACAGTGATTGATTATACACAAAACATGCGCTTGGTTGACAAGTGTGACATGCAGATTGGTTTTTGTTGACTGTGTTCGTAAGAGTTACAAGTGGTACATGAAACTTTTCTTCCATCTCATGGACATTTCAATGCTGAATGCATATAATATGTACCAAATAAAGACTGGTAACAGACCACCGTATGGTGAATTTTGTTTGTCTGTTGTCAGACAACTCATAATGAAGTACCAGGTAACAACACCTGCAATACAACATGGTCCTCGAATTCATCACAATATACCCAAGCGTTTGAGAAGAGAAGGTGATCATTTCATAATACAGCTTCCTTCAACTCAAAAGAAATTTGCTCAGAAGAGATGCATTGTCTGTGCACAAACAAAACGACGGCAACAAAGACGCAAAGACACTCGGTTTATGTGTGAGGAATGTAAGGTGCCTCTGTGCATGGTGCCTTGTTTCAAGGAGTTCCACAAGCTCCAGCAGTTCTAAAACCATATCCAGTGATTGTAAATATGTAAATATATGATAGAACATTAGTATTATACAATATTTGTGCATGTTTATTGTAATAAACAACAGTGGTAAACAATAATATGATAATAACTTTAGTGCGGTTATTGTGTTCAATACAGTGAGTTTATATATATAAATTATATACAGTATTGGTCTCTCAGGCCCCAAATGTTAGTAGGAATAGAAAAAAATTGGAAAAGAAAAGAAAAAACAACTAAAACAACAAAATAATATAATACGCGTATGTGGAATTCGTCGATGTTGCCGCCACCACATCATTTTCTACAAACTTCTTGGCACTGTATCTCGGTAAGTACTGATCAGATTCTAATTTTTTTTTGTTTTATTACCTTCACAAAAATATGCTCTTTAATTCTGTAAGAAAAAATAATTTGTTTTTTTTTCAAAATTTCTTGGACACTGGTGCGTGA